TGGACTACTGTAACGCTCTCTACTTGGGGCTGCCTCTGTCACAAATCCGGAAGCTGCAGCTAGTGCAGAATGCTGCAGCCAGACTGTTGATGGGTCTTTCCAGGCGAGACCACATCCGGCCTGTGCTGCAAGCGCTGCACTGGCTGCCTATAGCATACCGGATTTGCTTCAAAGTGCTGGTGCTTACCTTTAAAGCCCTGAATGGCCAGGGTCCTGCCTATCTAAGGGACCATCTCTTCCCGTATGTTCCCTCAAGAGCACTGAGATCGGGGGCGCTCCATCATCTGGAAGTTCCAGCCCCCCCGAGCTGCGAGGTTGGCCCATACTAGATCTAGGGCATTCTCGGTGGCGGCTCCTTCCTGGTGGAATGAGCTCCCGGAAGAGATCCGGGCCCTGCGGGACCTTGTGCAGTTCCGCAGGGCCTGTAAGACGGAGCTCTTCCACCAGGCCTTTGGGTAGGAGCCGCCGCCACCACCATCGCTATACCATCTTCGATGTACCGTCCACCTACCAGATTCCATGGAGGTGGTTTAGTTTGAGTGTGTTGGGGCGCCTCCACTACTAAGTTCATGGGTCGCAAATATGAGCTGCTGAGTATCTTGTATAATGTATAGATTGTATAGATTTGAAGCACCAGTTTTATTATATATGTAAAATTGTTTTATTGTTTTACTGTTTTAAACACTGTTAGCCGCCCTGAGCCACTGGGTAGGGCGGGATAGAAATCGCAAAAATAAATAAATAAATAAATTAAATAAAATAATACAGGAGAGATGGGGAAAAAACAACATCCAACGAGATTGTGTTTAAGAGCGTTGTTGTGCTCAGGTATTTGAAGATTTGCAATGCAATTATGATAATGCTTTTGTATTCAAGGAAATCCTAGGACACTTACACATGGCTGTTTTCAGGTAGTTGACAAGTGGGTTGAATGGACACAGCTTGGCTTTGTCCTTACGTGGGCACTCATGCAAGTGGTCCAGTGATTCCTTCACAGCTGCCCAGACCTCACGCAGCACCAGTGGATGGATGAAAATGGTTTGAGAATTGGCAGAGTAAAATGTGGCCATGTACTGAAAAATCAGAATATGGCTCCATGTTGATCCAGTAGTAAGGCATCTTCATATGCTGTATCCCCCCCCATTTACATATTTACCATACAATATTGTGGTATTCTTGCTCTGTATAATGGCCTCTCTGAGGAGGCACTACAAGGCTTGTTTGTTTGCCAGGGGTTGTAATGGTGTTTAAATGGCAAGCATCTTTTAAGGGGAAGGGATCACAAGGTTATTTTATTTTGGTTTTAATTGGATTTTTTTTAAGCTATCACTGTAAGCCACACCTTGAACCAAATGTAGAATAAAATGATTTAATATATAAATATTATCAGGGCTTTTTTTGTAGAAAAAGCCCAGCAGGAACTCATTAGCATAATAGGCCACACCCAACAGCAGAAACTCGGTAGTATATTACGCCACACCCCTGACAGCACAGCTTATTAGCACATTAGGCCACACCCCCATGCCTTCCCTTGGCTTGCCTGGGCGCCCCGCAGCTGCAGGGAGCCCGGGCAAACTAGCCCTTGGACAGGTCAGGGAAGGATCCTTCCAGGGGGGGCCTGGCCCGCCCGCCTCGGAGTCACCAGGGGGGTCGCTCTCCAGGCCTTCCCTCTGTAGCCACGCACGCAGATGTTTTGGCTGTAGTGGGCGTGGCAAACTCTGAAGCCAGCCGGAACTCTGTTCCTGTGCGTTCCTGCCCCAAAATAGCCCTGAATATTATTATTGTTATGAAAAACATTGGTATAATTTATCATATTTTCTTAGGTATCAAATAATGTTTTCCAGGTGTGCACTTACAGTTTGTAAATTTTTCAACGGAGACAATACATGATTATTTGGAAGTCAGAAGTGGATCAACAGATACTAGTACTGTTATTGGAAGACTCAGTGGCCCACAGTTACCACCTTCTCTTTTTAGTACAACCCACGAGACTAACTTATATTTTCATAGTGACTATTCTCAGAACAAACAGGGGTTTCATATTGCTTACCAAGGTGAGTGATTTTACATATTTACTATATGCATTCTGTGTCTGTTTTTAAAATATCAGAAGATGTCTATGAGATCATATATAAATAGCAAATATATGTTCCTTATAAGAAATGGTTTTGTCCCAACTTTGGACTGCAGAAACAGTTTTCAGATCAGGTTAGGACCAAATCACCCAGTGGGAAATGTAGAAATATTGTATGGACCTGCTGTTGGGCTGGATCCCTTGGAAAACTTCTGCAGGTTGTAATCACCTCTCCTTGCTGCTACAGTCCAAAATGTCTTCCAGAAATTATACTTCAAGGGGACTTGGCCCTTGCAGAAACAGCATCAGGGAAGCTGGAGATCTGCAGCAGGAGGGGGAAATTGTTGAGACGCTTTACCTGCAGAAGTCCTCAGTGGGATCCAAACCATCAATGTGTACAATGTTGCATGTGCACTGGCCATATGTGTAGATCCATACATGTGGCTGAGTTGATCCTTTCAATCCTACTGCCACCATCGCGTCAAAAGAAAATTCAAGCAAACCTGTATGCTACTTATCATGGACACCAGAGCAAAAATAATTGTGGAACGACTTCTATGAGAACATGGGCACACGTTTTGACATGTTTTCATAAATAACAATCTTTTTTGCCATATGACAAACTTTTGTGCAAGTAAGTGGAATTTCAAATGCAGTGCCTTGTATACATTGAGGACTGCAAGCCCAGTGGACCTTGTGGACTTGGACTATATATAACAATGAAAATGCACAGATTTGGGCACGTGTTAGGAAAGAGCAGTGTACTGTAGATCATCGAGGGTTCACTTTAACATATTAAAAATATCCATATATTCTTTTATTGTTTTTCCCCTCCAAAGTAAGTATTTTTGAAATATGAAGTTATATTTTAGAATGAAACTTATGTTGTCAGATCATTGAAGAGATTCTTATGGTTATTATTTCATTGACTTTCAGCATATCAGTTGCAGAGTTGTCCTGATCCACGCCCCTTTCGCAATGGTTTTGTCATTGGAACGGACTTTACTGTAGGGCAAACCGTTTCATTTGAATGTTACCCTGGATACACTTTAATTGGAAACTCAGCACTTACTTGCCTTCATGGGATCAGTCGGAATTGGAACCACCCTCTTCCAAGGTGTGAAGGTATGTTTTCAGTAGACATATATTAGTTCATCTTCTTCGTCCTGTGCAGGCCAACCACCAAAAGATTTTTTTGCTAGCTGTAGCAACAGAGTAGGTGGAGCCCCTGCCAAAGGGAGCCATTGAGACTGTTTTCCTACCCAACAGTCACATGCTCCAGGAAGGGGCTCCACACTCTCCCTCAGTTCTCTTTTTGCCACTGCTGGAGAAAAACAGTTCTTACTTACCTCGTGGTTTTTGGTTTTCAAAATAAAATGCTATTGTTCAAAAAGGGCTCCTCTTGTTCAACAAACATGAAGAGAATGGACAAGCACTCCATTTGCCTGTTGTGGGGAGAGCCGTAACATATTGGCATGTAAGATCTGCTAGCAGTGTACCCCAAAAGCCATAGCGGATTACGCCACTCACCTCAAGGCTGCTTTATGGGAAAAGGCTCTCTCTTCAACTGTTAACCCAGCAGCAATCTGCCCCAGTAAAACAGCCTGTATCCTTGGTCCCTAAACCAGTCTCTGACCACATTTCCTGCCCTGTGTCGATGATTTCGACCCACTTGGTTCCAAGGGCAGATCCAAACCAAAGATTTTCTGGGACACACACAAAAGTTCTGTCAAGGTCCTCTTCTGAACCTTCACTGAAGAAGCACATCAAAGTCTAAACATAAGGCTCACTGGTCAGGTTTGATGGAAATGGTACTTCAAGGGGTACATGATGGGAATGATACTTCAAGGGGTACAAATGATACAACTGGATAAGCCAGTCTCAAAGGAACCAGAGCTGGCTCTAAAGACCATTGTTGAGATCAGTGGGTATACTACCCCACACATTCCATCTCCTTGTCACCAGCACGGTCCCTTTCGGTGTGCAAACTGGAGCCGTCAGTTGATGTGCCTATGGAACACATTCTAGGACCTCCTGCCCCACATTCTCAGTGGAAACATTTGGAACCATAGGAACAATATTCTTGCTGCCAGTATCATCAAGGATGGTCAGAATTGTCGGAACCATGCATGGAAAGGATGGGGCAGATGATGGAATGGCCACAGACACCCCTCACTCTGGACCGATTGCTTATGGTTCCGAAGAGGAGGAGGAATGCAGGTCCACAGCCAATTTGGGGTTGACTTCGGAACTGTCCCCTGATGACACTATGTGGGACCATGACCCCATATCCCCAAGTGAGTACTTTCATCCTTACTCTGAACAAATGGTCTGAATGGAACAATTGTTAAACAGCTAGATAATGTCCATGAGCACTAGACGTCATGATAAGATCCTAGACTACACCCCGTGTCTCCTGTCATCTGCCCATTGACTCTTGTGTTAGAATACCTACTGTCATTAAGGGACGTGGGATTATCAAATCCATCTATTAAAGTCCATTTAGCTGCAATTTCTGCTTTCCATGTCCTTTTGGAAGGGAAAACCCTTTTTTCACCAAAGGTTTCTGAAAGATTCCTCAAGGGCCTCTACAACATATATCCGCCTAGGGCTCCCATAGTGTTTCAGTGGTCTGTCATTGTTGTTGATCCATCTAATACAACCTCTCTTTGAACCTTTGGCCACTTGCTCTCTTGAGCATTTTCCTTCAAGGTTTAATTCCTAGTAGCTGTTATCTCTGCAAGGAGAGTAAGAGAAATTACAGTGCTTACAGCTGATTATCCCTTTGTAAAGTTCCATGACCATAAGGTAGTGCTAAGACCCAGCATTTATTTTCTACGTAAGGTAGTTTCTAGATTCCACTTGAGCCAGGACATCACGTTTTTCATGCACCCATCATCTGTAGCCGAAAAGAGGCTACACATAATAGATGTAAAATGTGTCTTACTATTTTATTTAAAGAGAACAAATTTGTTCAGAAAGGCCCCACAATTATTTGTCTGTTTTGCTGGACCTTCGATGGGAAAGGCCGTGTTAGCCCAGATGATATCTAGGTGGATTGTCTCTACTGTCAAGAGAACCTACAAACAAGTGTTGGTCCAGTGTCCCTTACACATATGAACTCACTCAATGAGGGCTCAATCTATGTCTACTGCTTTTCAATGGGGCATTCCGTTGTCTGAGGTGTGCAAAGCAGCTACCTGGCCATCTACAGATACCTTCATTAAGCACTATTCTGTTGACATTAATACAAGAAGGGAGTCTTCAGTGGGGACACCAGTCTTGCATTCGATCTTCCAATGAATTGCACACTCCACCACCTGGTAAATCAGCTTGTTAATCTCCCACGTGGGACTGCACAGGGCAACGAAGATGAAAACAGTGTTGTATTTATCTGTAACTGTTGTTCATCAAGTTGTCACTGTGCAGGCACACATCCCTTGCTCCTACCCCACTGTGAGCTCTTCTGTTATTAAAAAAATATTATCTGACTCATAGTGGCAGCTCAGGAGAACTGAGGGAGAGTGCAAAGCCCCTTCCCAGAGCCCATGGCAGGAAAACGGTCTGAACGGCTCCCATTGGGAGGGGCTTCTCCTGCTGTGTTAGTAAGCTAGTTAAAAAAATGTCCAGCGACTGGCCTGCATGCCTGCTGCACCATCCCATGTATGCCTGCACAGTAACAACTCAGTGAACAACAGTTAAAGGTAAGTGCAACACTGTTTTCATATGAAATTTCATTTACTGGATGTTTTCAGATTGTGTGTTCAGTGAATTCATAAGGAGAACCAGCAGTGCCCCCCCCTTTAGGAGATCAGAATGATTAAAAGATAAGGGTTGGTCTGTGGGATTTCATGATTCCTTGGTTAAGGATGATGGGAGAGATTGAAGGGAAAGGCTAGGTAGAGGGAGTTTATGATCCCACTTCCTATTCCTTATCTTTTCTACCATGTTGATAGAACCACACTCCTATGCCTACAGTGTGCCAGACAGTAAGCCGATAGGAAGACACCTGTGCCACATTACTCACTGTATAGTGCCTGTGTATGTTAGGAAAAGAACACAGGTTGCTTGATAGCAAAATCCAACCAAGTCTGAGCATACCTTTTATTAAGACTAAACCACTCCCTCCCCAGGCTCTGTGCTTTAATCTCCAGAAATATCCCATCTGGAGTTGGCAACCCAATTCCCTTTTTACTTTGTTTTGTGTTGAGGGTTTTTTTTGGGGGGGGGGGGTTTAGTAATAATCTTCAACCTGATGAAGAGTTCTGGAGAACATGAACACTTGCAATTTTGATTGTTCTTAATAAAAGGTATTGCAAGGCTTTCAGTTTGTGATTTTCCAATATTTTAGTTACATTTTATAAATAATAATTTCTCACAATTCTGTATTTCAATGACATGGAAGTCTTCAGTCATATGTTTCATACCTAGTAGCTATCATCTCACATAAGTTTTAAATAGTTTTTAATGCAGAAATATGCATACACATCATTGCTTTTACTTTTTTTTGGTAGCTCTTTGTGGAGGAAATATAACTTCAATGAATGGCACCATATACTCTCCAGGCTACCCTGATGAGTATCCCAACTTCCAGGACTGTTTTTGGCTTGTAAGAGTACCACCAGGAAATGGCATCTATATCAACTTCACTGTTCTTCAAACAGAGCCAATATACGATTTCATAACTGTCTGGTAAGCAAAAATGAATATTATTGATTTATGTTATGGCATATGACATGAAGCAACAAGGCAGATAACCAGTGCATCTCGCAGACGTGACCTGTATTTTAACATTCCTAGCCAGTAGTACTAAGTTGTCTCCCAAACTGACTAAAAAGAACATACTTCTCCTTACAGAAGGGTAAATGTACTTCATTATTGAAAATGCCATTCTTTGGAGTTTCGTTATTTGGAAATGCTCTTATCCATTGTGTTTTTCTAGTACATGCATTTGTCATTAAGTGTAAGGTGGCATTTATGAGTAATTGCTTCCCAGACTTATGCAAAAGCATTCAACATTGTACAATGCAAACAATGCCTTGAAGGTGTTACGAGAAAATCCTTACTGAAGAATGCCTCCTGCCCTTTATAACTGTGACATCAAGTGATGAATTACTTGCGTGAATGGGCCACCATACATAAACACACCAGATAGAACTTTCAGCTCTGCTTGCATCATCTCAAATGCCATACGCTTCTGTAAAGCCAGTCCACATATGCAGTAGCTAGTTAGCAAGCTCAGGTGATACCTGGGTATGTATCGACCAGACTGCCTAGAGACTAGGACTTTTTCCTAGTCTTTTGTCAAAACTCTGAACAATGGTTCAAGCTAAGGCCCAGGGGGGAAATATGCAAGTTTTCTGTTTTCTGAGAAATCAAGGTTAAGCTGACTGTGGCCTCAGAGAAAGAAAAAAGGAAAACGGGAAGTTTTCATAGGTGCTGAGAGATCATTGGGCCTAGCAGTTTCCCCTACACATTCCATTTGGCTGGAGTAAGGACAGTTTAATTGGACCTGATACAGCTCTCAAGGCTAATGACAACCTTACCTGCTTGGTTGAGTCTCCTGGTTAGTAATGGTCTAGTTATATCACTGGCCACACTTTAGATTGGTCAACTAGAATCATGCCAACACAGGTTGTGAGGCGTAAACAAAATATGTTTTATTCTAGTTTTTCCCTCTATTTGGATTATGACGAGCTTTGAGATACCCTGAGATATGAGGACTGACACTTCAGCCTTTTTGTCTGCTTGTCTTGCCCAACCCATCACCCTTTAGTAGGACCTTGGCCTTAAGGTCCTTTGACACAGACCTCTGAGTGCAAAAGTTGCATATATGATCCCTGATCCAGAAGAAATTAGTTACACCTAAATTTCCATTCGCTGAGAATGACTTGTCCCGTTAAATGGGACAAGAGTGACATACTTTCTCTAAAATAGGGCCAGTGTGAGAGAAGCATGAGCAAATTCTGTCATGGCACCAACTTATCCCCCCCCCCCAAAAAAAAATCTGTGCAGAGAACCAGTGATAGCATGAATACACTTCACAAAAGCAGCAGTCTATGAGAGGACAAGCAGTGCTTCCAAGCAATAACAAGCTTTCTTGTTCTATGATGGAAGAGAATCAAAGAAAGCTAGGAGCGAGAGAAGAGAGAAGCAAAGGAACCAATTATAGGATGGGAAAAATCTGCAGCTACTGAGCCTATGGCTGCAAAGATACAAGATACAAGAAGATACATTCATTGCATCCATTTTGCCTCCATCATCTTCTGGGACTTCCACTTTAGGCTCCTGTTACCTTTATCTGGTCTGGTCCTGTAGGTGTTGTCTTCTTGCAGAGAGTGAGCCTGGTGCTGGACAGGGCTAAGCTGACCTGAAAGGCCATGAAAACTAACTTTTATTCTTCTATGGTTTATTGATCACAGAGATCTGTGATTGAAACTATCCAACATTTTCATAACAGTTTCTTGTTTGTGGATCAGTTTTGCAAGTGGCATTGGAACAAATAATGTGTGTTTGTTTGTTTTGTCTTAGCTTCAAAAGCTACTTAAATGCACCACTTAATGCAAATCGAGAAGTACACAGAAAAACAACTGGTGCTTTAAGAGCACTTCTCTTTGTGTTTAAACTTTCTTTTAAATGGGGGGTGGGCAGAGAGCAAAATGAGATGTAAAATCTAGTGGGTTTTTTGTCATTCTTTTGCCCAGGATTTTGTTGATGAAAAATCTGCTAGAACATTAAGAGAGACATAATTTTAAATGGCCTGTAATTTTATGATCGTTCCAATGTCATCATTTCAGTGTCCAGCTCCAACCACAAATCACATGTCTGTGACCAAATGCTAACATCTGTAGCTGCAATTAATTGCACCTGTACATTAGAGGGATCATTTCAATGCTCCATAAAAAAATGTTTTCTGGCCATTAAATATCTGTAAAATGAACTTGACAGAAATGTTATGAGCATTAAAAATGTAGCATCCACATGTTTTACGGCTGTATGACACCATGAAAAAGGACGGAGACAGTCTAAAATGCTATAAACACCAGCCTTGGAACAGTGAGGGGCTGCTTGTTATTTGATACTCTTATTTGCCAGTTAGAGATTTCAAGGATGACAGAGCAAAATGGGAAGATACTGCCTTTTTTCGAAATGCTTCAAGTTTGTAGAAAAACATGATGAAGAAAAATAGGAGAGGAGGGAACAGGAACTTTATCTGAGTCATTTTAAAGGAATATTTGCAAAAACACGAAACTGTGATAAATGTTGCCTTTTATTTTATTTTTTCAGATGCATACAACCTGTTAGGTTATTTTCCACAAGTAATGCCATTTTACATCTACCATTTATTTTAGTAGATCTTCTGTTCAATTTCCATTAAAATGAGAAAAAAAAGATGGATATTAGCTCTCGATGAACTATTCCAATTGGGTATTGGCTTGCCATGGATTAATTTGTTAATGTGTTAAAACATTTATATTCCCCCTTTCCGAGAGGTCATATTACCTAGAATGATCTGTTTCCAGACTCTTCATTTCCACTCCCCATGCCTTGAAATCTTGCATAAAGAAGGTGAAAAGACATACATTTAATTGTAGTGGTATTGTTTTGTTACTGTTACTTCTTAGGGATGGGCCTGACCAAAGTTCTCCACAGATTGGACAGTTTAGCGGCAACACTGCATTGGAGTCAGTCTACAGCACTTCAAACCAAATACTCATCAAGTTCCACAGTGACTTCACAACAAGTGGCTTCTTTGTGCTCAGTTATCATGGTTAGTGGTATATATGTGTTGATTGTCTAACAGGCTGTCTTGTTGGAAAATATTTCCCTGCTGAATCCCACATGAGCAAGAGGTTGTTTTATTGAACGAAGCCATATCTGTCTACATATGTGTATTTACATAACAGGTGTGTAAGGGTGATATAGTCCCACTTGTGGGGAAAAAATAATAAAATATTGGTTAAAGTTGTGGTTAAAAGTAATTGTAGAAATGCATAACTACCTACCAGTCACCTGTCACTCCAAAAAAGTTATATTGTTTGGTATAAGTGGTGACTATTTATTCACTGTGAGTCAAAGCATGGTATCAGACCCATTAATGGCTGTAAAAACATTTGCAAAAAACTGAAGAGCTGTTAAAACAAGTATCAAAATGCAGATCCAAAAAGTGTGGTAACTCATAAAGTAGCATTGTTATAGGGAGGGGAATTTGTTTTTCTAAAATGCATTCCACCCACCCCCAGCCCGATTTAGCCATCGATTCCTTCAATCCGACAGATCATTGGAGTTCAGGGAGAAGTTGGGTAAAGAGAAATTAAGAAAATTTCTCTTAACAACACTACCATAAAGCTATTCTAATTAACAGTTATATGCTTGAGGGATGGAAGACAGAAAGAGCCCTTTCCCCCAAATATTGGCAGCTTTTAAAAAATGTTACTAGCATCAGACACTGGGCCTGACTTGATTTCTATAACTGTTCTTCTTTAAAGTAATGTGTATATTGTCTGCATTATGTAAAAAATTTAATAATAGTAGTAGTGGTGGTGGTGGTGGTAGTAGTAGCAGCAGCAGCAGTAGTAGTAAGCCTGAACTCCATGCAAATAGATCTTAGGATCTGCAGACAAGTATAAAAGGGAGAGAGATTAAGGAGAGCTTACCATAGGTACCCACATACCTGTCACTTTGAAAGGGGCAAGCATATACAGTTAGGACTGATGTGGACTTCACGCTGATGGATTGTTCAGAAGAAAAGTTTTTAGTCCTTGGGCTTCATTTTTGGCTAATCTATCAGCTGCTTCAGAACTCTCCCAAACTTCACAAATGTACTTGCTACCTCTGCCCCAGGGTGCCATCTCCTGGGTGACAGCAAGTTCCACCACCTTGTTTCACATAAATCCCAATGCTAATCTCAAATGGTGAGACATGAGCCACCTCATGTCCCTTGTTCTCTGCAGTCTGTTTTGACATAGCACTGACATTCCTTCCACCACCTCTCCAGTCCCCAAATTCATGTAACTCCTGAAAGGTTCCTGCTGCTGCTGTTGTTATTAGTCTTACTTTTTGTTCTTCTGGGGCTGGAATCATCAGAGTGCTATGTATATACATAAAACAAGAATCATTGAGGTTGTTGTAATTCTGTAGAGAGGAAAAAACACTTTTCAAAAGTACAGTAGTACTATGCTGTTGACTGGTTCTTCTAACGTTCCAGAGCCAGCATTGCCAGCAGTGTCCTGCTTCAAATTAAGCCCTGGTTAGCCTTCTCCTTCCTTTCTAGCCCTAGAAGCTCTTGAGAGAGAAAATGTCTAAAATGTTTGGGTCAAGGATGTGCTCTCTCCAGGCCTTGCTATTGGGAATTTGAAAGAAGTTACAAAAGTATATCCTCTAGATCAGGATTATTTTTTTCTCTTGAGAATCTTCTTGGATTAAGACCCACTGTTTTTAGGAATTGATGTCTACATGTGCAGTTACAATGAACATGGCATAACTGCGTTATTTCCAGTGATCTTCCAATATATTCTACATCTCATTATTTCATCTTATTTTGGAGGATCAATGCCTGTTGACCTGTTTATTACTTAATGTGATTAGATGGGTTTGAATAGGGTGCTTAGATGTGTTTTTCCCCAGGATCCTTTAGTTCCTCCCCACACCGGCATTAGATTACCCAAAATACATAATAAATGAGGGATTGCAATTGGCTAAAATACTTGAGCCAGAAGTGAAAATTCAAAAACAAGTATTTTAAATACTGTTCAGTCCAGGTGGTCTGCTTTGTAGAGTCCAGTCCTTTTAAGATAAAGTGTTAAATGTTGTCTGTTGTCATCCTGCAAAAAGGAGCAACATATTAATTATAATCCCTTTTGAATTTCCATAGCATACCAACTTCGAGTGTGTCAGCCTCCACCTACTATACCGAATGCTGAAATTCTGACTGAGGATGACGAATTTGAAATAGGTAAAGTCAGTCAATGCAGAAATAACATTGAACATCTAATGTTATGACTCCCTTAAAAAAGTAAATAGTTGCTACTAAAGCTGGTGTCGCTGCCACCATGCACTCATGAGCGGCAGGAAAACAGGGCCCTGTTGAGTCCTGTTGGAGTCTTCTATGTGCTCGGGCCCCATGGCCATGGTAGACTAGATACCAGCCATTGTCTTCAAAATGTTTACGTTTGGCTCTGCGGCATGAAGAAAAACATGTGCTTTTGTATTACAGAGTTTGTATATAATTTCAGCTTTTTGAGGTGCATGTAATAAAATGTAATATTATTTCATTCTTTCAGTAAGGTGCACAATGCACATTCTGTGCTTTGATAAGAATTTGCAAAAAGGCCATGGCCATTTCCAAGATAGTGATACTACAGAGCACAGTCTGGGGCACTCTGTTCTCTCCTTTCAGTTTGTGAAACTTTCTCCACATTACGACAGTAACTTTGGGGACAACAGGGTTTGGTTCAGGACTTCCAACTCCAGGTTGGGAAATTCCAAGATATTTTGAGTGGTGCCTGTGGAGGGTTGAGTTTGGGGCAGAAAGTGAGCTCAGCAAGGATGTGAGGCCCTCTGATGTTGCTATTTTCTCCGAGGGAGGAACACAAGTGCATGCAGCCAAAGGTGTTTTGAAAGTGTCATTGCAGTTGATTACATGGCTGAGTGGACCAGCCAGCTTGCCCTTGAAAACCAGTTTGCCTGAGTAGCTGGATGATCAGCTGCTGTGAAAATTTCCAAGATCTGTTCCAGTTGTTTGTGTGTGGCTCTCTCCCCAAAACTCAGATGACTATCTAGAATTGTGCACATCTTGATAGTAAAGCAATATTTCTTAGAAAAAGATAAGTTATGTGAGCAATAAAATGTTATAAAAATGTACTCCATGCCATACCCACCAATATTTAATGGGTTGGAACCAACTAGTTTTTCCACTTGTTAAAAAAAGGGGGAGGGCTGCCTGGACAAATGCCATCTGGGAAGGGGGGGCTGTAGTAAAAAGAGGAATTAGGTGAGACTCGGTGTAAAAGCTGGCTGGATCCAACCCAATGCTAGGACCTCCTGTAGGACTGAGATCTATGGATGGTTGCATTTATCGAGTTAAACACAAAATAAGTACATTTCAAGTCACTTTTTAATCCTGTCCTGTGGTTTTCAAGCTGACAAGCCATCTCCAAACCACAGAATTTGGTTGTCTGAAAAAAGACAGCAGGAATAAATTTTGCTGATGCTGTCCCTTTAATTACTGTCATGACTGCTAAAAAATACAGAGCTTTAAAACTTAACCAGCCTGCTGTTGTGCTCTGCAGAGTAACAAGCAGCTGATGCTTGTGACTCACACTAATAGTATAGCTGGCATGAAATGATAAATGTGGCTGCTCCTTTGCCACAACATTTCCTCTGTCTAATCAAAGCTATTTGCGCCAGTGGTCATTTACACATTATATATGGTGGGTGCTTCATTAATCAGTGCTGCTGTCAATGCCAAAAGTCCTCATTAATTGTTGTTTAACTGCAGACTCTTTTTTATCACATAGGGGACATAATAAGGTATCAGTGTCTACCAGGGTTTACATTGGTTGGTAATGAGATTCTGACATGTAGATTGGGAGAAAGGCTACAGATGGATGGAGCACCGCCTGCTTGCCAAGGTTTTGTGTTTCTTTTCTCCTATTTTGTATGTGTTTGCATGTTTCTGTGACATGTCTTCAGATTCCTTTCTAATGGACTTGTGTATTTATATTATGCTTGTCAAGCTTCGTTTGCAGCCCTGTAGTCGACCCGCCCATGGCCGTGGCATCAGCCCTGGGAATTGGAAAGAGTTTATAAAGGAGAAGGTTGCGGAGGGACCTCAGATAGGCAGGGGACGGGGTTATGGTCACCCCGTAGGTCCCTCTGCCGACGTGCGCAGAACACCTTTGGTCCCATCTGTCTCTCTCGCTCTCTCTTTCTCTCTGTCTCGTTCCTTCGCACTTTCCTCCTCCCTGGCCCATCCACTTCTCTCTCCTTTTATACCCCGCCCCGCTCCCAGTGTCACCTGTAATCCCCGCCTCCTCTATTCCTGGTCTGGCCCCATCCCCCTTGATAAGCCCAGACACCTTCTGGTCATTCCAGGTGTTGTTGTGGGTGTGTTGCAGCTTAGTTTCCCCATCATGCCCACCCTCAGCCCTCCCTCAGCGGCATCTGCTTCGCCGCTTCCTGGGATAGAGCTCCAAGATGCCCGACCAAGGGGCCTTGCTCTGCCGGTGTGGCCGCATCTCCCTGGGTTGGCTATAGTCATTTCTCCCGGGGCTTCCCGTGGTGAGGTGCCGCACTGCGGCCCCGTCGGCCGCCATGGTGTCATCACTGCCTCGCTCCTCTGCTGAGTGGCATGGTCGGGGCGTCCCTGGGGGGTGGGATCCTCATCCCAAGGCCACTGGACTGGGACAATGCTTTTGTACCCATCAGGCCCTCAAAGTGGCTAATAATGGTAATATGCAGCATTCCTCTTATATAGCACTTAAATACTTTTGTTAACTTGCTCAGAGATCAGAGCAGGCATAATGTATCTGCCTTTTTCCACTTGCTCTTTTCTCACCTAGGGCAAAACCCATCTCTGACTTGCCACTAGGGATGGTCACAAACCAGGGAAATGGTGGTTCGTTGTAGTTCATTGTTCGTTAGATTACGCGAACCATGAACTTTCATGAACTTTTCCCGTTTCCTGAACCAGTTCATGATTCATTTGGTTTGTGAGTTTGGGAGGTGGTAGAACAGCCCCCTCATGAATTCGAGATGCCACACTCAGAGGAAGTCTTCAGCAGGCTCTCTTCCACCCACCCACCAAACTGGGTGAAGATTGGATTTGGGATGTCTGAGTTATAGCCCCCCCTCCCAAAGCCAGTGTCCCCAGGAAAGCTCAGCTGTAGCCTCCCCTTAAATCAGCCACACAGCAGTGATTCTTCCTAACTCACTTTCACATGATGACTAAGTCTTCTCTCTTCCTGCTGCAAAGTGAAATCAGCTGAATCAGGTTGTGGTATGTGTATATAAGTAAACACACAGAGAGAGAGAGAATCTGCTCCAATAGGGCTTGTTAGTCAAATTGCCTTGATTTTGAGGGAATTAAGATGTACCATGAGGAATTAGGCAAAATAAGGGAACAAGCACCAGTGTATACAGGGGTCCCGCTTTTTCCCAGCTCACCAGGAATAGACTCAGAGGCACGTTTCAGTATAAAATGATTTCCTTTACTGAAGATGTATGACAAGCATACAGTATCACAAGCACACTCACAATTATACAGTTCTGAGAAAATTAGATAGAAGAGGATAGCACTTTTGCATTAGCAGGATGTTTCATTGAGGGGTAGTACAGTTACCTGTCCACGACGGGATGGAGCGATCCTTAGGAAAAAATGAGGGAGACTATAAGGAAATGGGGTTGTGTCTTAGGCCAGCAAAGACACCTGGATAGACTCTTGGGTAGCTAATCTAGAGTTAGCAAGATAGGTAGGGGTTAGGTGCAAGAGAGAGCAAGAGAGAGAAAACATGGCTGTGTGCCCCCTTTTAAGAGGGGAGCTTGGGGGGTTGGGCCAGGCGGGTCACATGTCTTGGCCCACCTCCTACTAGTCTGTCCCAAAAACATCCTATTGGAGCAGGATTTAGGGAGAGGAGATTAAGGGAGTGGAGAATATTGAGATCTAGTAACTTTGAGCTGAGCAGTAGCACCTGAAGGGATTATGACTCATGCAGCCAGAGTCTTTGTCCTTAAGATCCCGTGATTGTCTTCTGCCTGTCACCTTTCAGCTAGGTGAGACTTGGTGTGTGGGGGGGAATGCTGCCTGCGTGTGTTGGAAGAGGCTTCTCACGGTGTTTGGATTTCTTTGTCTCTGGTGTTCTCTCTGGGTTTACAGTGCTTCACATGGCTAGGGAGCTGGTCCATCTTACAGCAGGCAAGAGGGCAGGTAACTTCCAGGAACCACTGGCACAACATACAGGAAAGCTTTCTGCTGGGTTTTTGTCTAGCTGGCATCCTTTTTGGGTCACCACACAGTTCAGTCCCTATTTGCACATTGCTTGCACAGTCCAGATTTTATTACTTATGAACTTTGTCCATAAGAGCACAATATGTGCCTTGCAGGGCAACAGGCTCTTCACAGGTCCACCCACAGCATTGCCTAGGAATTGATTGAATTGGCAGCAGGCTGTCTGGAGAACGAACCATTCTAATGAACCAAATGAACCCCCACAGAGGTTTTGGGAAAAACACGATCAAACAAACCGGTTTGAAATAAACCACGAACTGGCCTGGTTTGTGCCTGAACTGTGGTTTCTTTCTCAGTTCATGCCCATCCCTACTGGCCACCCAGGATGAGCTGGTCAGAGATGGAGATTAATAATGTCTGTTTGGACCCTACTGAGTCCAGGTTAGCCCATTCTTATCGGATCTTGGAAGCTAGCCTGGCTAGTATTTGAGTGCAATACCTCCAAGAAATACCAGGGTCATGACCTAGAGGCAGGCAATGGCAAACCACCACTGAATGTCGCTGTCCTTGAAAACCCCACAGGGTTGCCATGAGTCAGTTGTGACTTGATGGAACTTTCCACCACCACCAGACTTGATATCCCCCTTTAACCCCTAAGTGGCAACATGTGTCCCTGAAAGAAAATGACCTCACAATCATATGAGAGGGAGGGAGTGATCCAGAATTATGACATCCTGATGTCAAAACTAGGACAATGGTCAGCACAGCAAAACAAGTGAAGGCAGGGAAACGAAAGCCAACTACCAGGAGGTACACTTGTTGGAGGCCCTTTCTGCAGTCTCCTTTTAATCCATGTTCACCACAGTGTCCTCCAAGAAATACCAGGGTCATGAGGTGGAGGCAGTCAATGGCAAACCACCACTGAATGTCGCTGTCCTTGAAAACCATATGGGGTTGCCATAAATCAGCTGTGACTTGACAGGGCTTTCCAGCACCAGACCCTACTGAGGCCAACTATATTTTACACTAATTCTGATAACCATCTTGGGTTATTCTTTAAAACAAAAAAAATAATAGTGAGGTATTAAAAGAGATAAATGATTCAATTCCTTTATTTCATGAAATTTGCCATTTAAAATCAGTGGAGGTTACATCATGGTATAAATGAGTAGACTGTAAAATCCTAACACAGAAGTATGTTTATATAATCCCTCTACTTCCTAGCCAGGGGTTTATTCCCCCCCCCCAAAGCAATTTCAATAAATTGGCATCTGTAGAAAGCAGAAAAGAGAAAAGTGATAGTTTGGAACAGAGGTAAGGTAATTGCCGATGGATCCATTCCTTCTCAAATGCTAATCTTTCAGTATGCAAAAGGGTGGTGCATTTTTTGTTAAATCCACCAGTTTCACATAACTGCAGACTTTTATAAGCCACTGAGCACAAGTTTGTAGAAGTTCTGTAACAAACTTCTAAGAATTCTTAGCCCTCAGGGTCTTGAATGGTAGCTGCAGAAACTCAGCAACCAGCAAACCATTTGTTACAGATGGTGGCCTTTATACAAATGTAGGTGATTTTTAAATCATTTAAATTCACAAGCAATTTCTTTTCACATGAACATAAGCCCTCAGAGTCGAAGCCTACCATTTTGTTTCATTGGTTACCACATGTTCCTCTGACACTAGAAACCTGCTGATGTAAGATTGTCTTGCATTGATGCAAGTGTGTCTTTTGGAATGCTCCTCGTGCTGGTGAAACACACAGTTATAACAATACCACCCTCAGTGGTTTGGATCCAATCACCTGTTCTCATATGAACCTTTAAAGATCTGCCAATGAGACCTCAGAGGAGGATAGGATTGACAGACATGAACAGCAGGGGCTTTTTGGTTAACCTACCACCAATGCTCCCTCTAAGCTGTGGAGTCTTGTGATCAATAATTCTACCTTGTGAACTACTGGCATTAAAGCTGTGAATGAGCCATTTGGCTACTGCATAAATTAGTCTGCTGTGGAGCCATCCTTCCTGAGATAAGACAAAAATGTGTGAGCTGGAGGCTAAAAAACTGTGAGCTAGCTCACACTAACTCAGCTTAGAGGGAACACTGCCTACCACTGTGATTAAGGATAACATTCCACTGAGTTGCTTTTCTATTTTCTACTCATCTCACTTCCAGATGAAAAAGAATACTCTTCTCTTTTGCTAGGCATTTGATGTTTGATACTTAGAGATGAACTATGTACTTGTTACCAGTTGCTACTGCTGTTTTTGATCTGCTTTGATTTTGATCTGGTGATGATTATATTGTACTTTTATGAAGTTTTAATATGGTTTAATATGGCTACTGATTTATATATACACAATGAAGAGCACATAGTTTTCTGAACTTGGAAACATTCATCGAACTTTCTGAATTTTAAGGTGGTATATAAATATTGGAAAATAATCAAAATCAAAAGGAAATGAAGCTTAAACTGTTCCAAAAATGTATCTGGTTAATAGCCAGCACATTTTATTATGGTAGTTAATATATTTCTAACTGTAGAATATTCAGTGCCAAAGCATGGGCATTTGAAACAAAAATCTCAGGCTAGGGCACTTCTCAGTTGGAATACCGTGGCTGAGAAGGTTAACTACTGGTTGCTACCTCCCCCCCTCCAAAAAAAAAATCACTAAAGACCAAGGCACCTAAAGCAGGGGTCATTTGGGGGGGGACGTGGGGGGACGCCATCCCCCCGGGTGAGGTGTGGGAGGGCGGGGCCTGGAGCTCCCTGCTGGTGCCCACTGGAGGTCGCCGCCGGCTGTGGGGAGGACACACTTCCAGTGATGTCAGGGGGTGTGGCATATGCTAATGAGTTATGCTAATGAGTACCCCTAGCTCTTTTTCTACGAAATGACCCCTGACCTAAAGCAAAGCCTCAGTTAAGGATTGTAAGTGATTGGGCCAATTAGGTGAGAGGAAACAGCCCTTAGAAGAAGAGCTGGGTTTTATACCTCACTTTCCCCTACCCTAAGGAGTCTCAAAGGGGCTTACAATCTCCTTCCCTTCCCCTTCCCACAGCAGGGACCTTGTGAGGTAGGTGGGGCTGAGAGAGATTTGAGAGAACTGTGACTTGCACAAAGTCACCCAAGCAGGCTTCATGTGGAGAAGTGGGGAATCGAACCGAGTTCTCCAGATTAGAGTCCACCACTCTTAATCACTATACCATGCTGGCTCTTAGCCATACTG